AATCTGGAAATCAATTGAATGGCCGAGAATACACCTTCCTAACCAACGCTTCAACCGGAAATGATCACCCTCACGAATTTCAAGAAAAGTTCCTCGGCAAAACCTACACAAAGAACATCACTGGTTGGTTGCCTATGGGTAGATCTCGGGACTGTATTATCTCCCAAAATAATGTTGCGGGTCAATGGGTCTACGAGGGACCAATGGTATTTTATGAGAAAATTTCTGATATAGTCGTTAATGAAATATATAGCATTAGTGTCCAGAAGACTTCAACACAATACTGAGTCGCTAAGAAAGAAAGATATAAGATGTGTGAAATCATACTTTCAGAATTAGGTAGTGTTAAGCTCAATATATCAATAAATTATGAAGGAATTGGTACTCTATCATGAATAAAAAGAAATTCAAATTACTGGTAAGTGATCGAAATATGCGGATGACACTCAACAGCTTTACTTATTTTACCTCGAGGACCCCCAGAATGCAACTATGGAAATTAACGCGGACATTTACTCTATTTGCACCTACTCATCCAAAAACAACCTAACCATTAATGCTGCCAAATCTTCTGCTGTGCCGTTTTGTAGAAACCACAGAAAAGATTTGGACAAAGCTCCTTTACGTATACGTATTAACAATCTTTCCTTTTCTGGAAGTATCAAGTGCCGAGGTGTGTTATTCGTTGAAAATGTGCGGATTCGTGACATTTGAATAACTTCTCTTATCCTTTAATAGGTTGGTTGAACATGACAGACTAAGGCCCAATTTCAAAGAGACTGACGGAGGCTTCGACAAATAAGAGAGCAATTTGACGAAGGCTGTCAAAGCTCTGCTAATATCGCTAATTTCTATTGAAATATTGAATAAAATCGTGAAAAGGCGGTTGCTTTATATATCAGGGTGCATCATAAATGTAATATTATGTCCTTGAGCTTTAGAATTAGGATAACTTTCATAGAAGTTTCAGTTTCTATCATTTCACAAAACTATTTAAACGAACCAATGAAAATGCGAGAAATAATAATCCGATTTTCTAGATATTATATACTAAGTGACATATAAATCCGAGGTAACATGAACGCGCAGCGTTATATCCACGAAGTTCTATAACCCCATCTTTTACCCTATCTTGACACCCTGGCAGATCCAACTTTCCAACAAGATAATGACCGACCAAATGATGCAAGAGTCACAATAGACTTCTTTCAACATAATGATGTCACATTGTTACCATGGCCACCAAGATCTCCCGACTTATCCCCAATTGAGCACGTCTGGGATATGATGGGTAGGAGATTGCTCAATTTGCAACGTCCTCCTTAGACTCTAGAAGCACTTCGAGAGGAGCTGGTGGTTGCCTGGTATGAGATACCACAGGAGGACATTGACCACCTGATCAGAAGCATGCCTAGGCGCGTTGGAGTATGCGTAGCACATCAGGGTGCTTCATTAAGTACTTATACAAAATTTTATTAAGATAAAACCATTTAAACTGGGTGTTCGGATTTATATGTCACTTAATATATTTAATAGGATGTTTTCACTGCTTTGGACGACTGTACATGCATGGCAATCTAGTTTTGTCTCTATATCACATAATATTACATAATACGTAACCATAAAAATGTAACCGATTTTTTTAATTTTGCAAAAAAAAGATATAAAACGTATTCTAACTGGTTCGTCATCCTTTATTACATCAAAACAATTTTTGCAAATCTATTATCTAGAAATCCACACCAAATATAAACAAACAGCACATTCTGCATTTCTGGGCCCTAAAACATCGATATTATATTTTCTTGTTATTTCTATTATTATAATAGCCCCACCAGCATCACGGCGAGAAAACCTTGCAACCATTCTGGAATGTCTGTGAATATTTTTCTGTTTTACCCCTGAACTAATGAACTCGCCTCACATTTTAATTAAATACTCATTTTGAAAACAGACAGGTTTCGGTTTTTTTATCGCTTGTCCGATGATGCGGTAATGTCTAATATAAATATAACCTAGAAGGTGTACTCGGTGAAATAAGAAAGTTATTGCAAATTCTAGTTGTTTTGCAGGTTTTAGGTTTGCTGGTAGCTTTACGACATATATTTGGGTATTTCTTAATCGATGTAAATATATTGTGGATGTTTGTTCAGATCCTGACCAACCAAAAAATATTTGACTATGGATGTACGGATATCAAAAATCCTTAATCTCATTTTGAACGGTCCTTCTCATGCAATGCGTGCTTGTTGGACAATAGCTTTGATTATAGAACGAAAAGCCTGCCTCTATATAGTTGTACAGAAAATTTAACGCTCCTCTGCGGATAACTATATACTTCCATACCTTTGAAGGTGTGCATCGAATTTCATTTGAATAAGGTCTGCGTCAGCGGGCCGTCAAGTGTTACAGCATGTGAAATTGTTAAATGAACTCTAATGGCCGGTTTTTCGGTTGCAGAACCAGAACCAGAAGTAAAAAATATGTTTTTCAATATTAACTTTAACCAGAAGACTATTTATTAGTTAAAGAGAATGTTGTAAATACACTGCAATTCCTAACCGACAAAATACGATATTCCAGCCGTAGAGGCAGCGTTTTCAGATCTACCGTAAGGTGTTAGTTAACCAAAGACTGAAAAACTTAAAGATAACCAGCGATTAAAAAACCGGGCCTTAGACATTATTTTAGGGAACATGGACTAAACATTTGAGGTTGCGAATGTTGCATATTTTCAGGTTCATTTTCAGTAGCTTGTCACTTATGGAGGGTCTATACAACCTTTCAATAGTCGTAGTCATAGGCATTAACATATATGCATATGTACCTCTCTTATGATTTCACTTATGACTGAAACGTTATTCTGACAAGTCTACCTGTCAAAACTGTCACCTAACCTACAATACCTACAATCTAGATTTTACAACACATGACAGAATACAAACTGTTACCTATCGCTCTATACAGGGCGTTACATTATCATTATTATTTTGTGTATTGTTCAAATGCTCAACAAACCATTTATAGCAATTTTGTGTACTGACTTGTTGTTTATTTTTTCGATATAAATCACAATAAATAGGTAAGGTTAAATTCCTTAAATTTTCTGAATGCTCTTTTCTGTTTTAGAATCTAAAAAGAAAACCGCTTATGACTGCGATGAAGTCATTTATTTGCTTAAGCATATTCGGAACTTACAACTATGGCTATGCATATATACTAAGTGACATATAAATCCGAACACCCAGTTTAAATGGTTTTATTTTAATAAAAGTTGGTGAATGTATTTATCTTACTGTAAATAACAAGTGAAAAAATTTTCAGCCTTATCAGTTGGACATTCCGGTTTTTATACTGCTTTTTTTTTAATTCACTAACGCTCTAAAAATGAATATTTCAGCCGCAGTAAAGAATCAACGTTGGCGGATTTTGGTTCTTGACATCCTTTACGATCGGTTACGATGCCTAGAGTACGGAGACCTGTACGATTTCGTCAACTTAGTGAGTTTGATAGGGGCCGTATAGTGGGGCTTCGGGAAGCTGGACTTTCTTTTCGGGCAATTGCAGTTAGAGTGCAAAGAAGTGTAGACACTGTGGTTAGGTGTTGTCAAGCATGGCTTGGAGAAGGCCGTACGCAAAGAGCACGGGGCACTGGACGCCGCCGTAGAAATTTCAGACCGTGAAGATCGCCGCCTAAGATTATTGGCCTTAAGGGACCGTTTCTCCACTACCAGGTCCATTGCAAATGAATTGGCTTGTTTTCATACCGGCCACACTGGGTCCTCCCTTTAACTCGAGAACACCGACGTAATCGCCTTGAGTGGTGCAGATAAAGGTCACTCTGGGATCAGGAATGGAACAGTATTGTCTTTAGTGACGAGTCTCGATTTTGTTTAGGCATGCACGATGGCGTGCCAGGGTTAGAAGGCGACGTGGTGAAAGGAGGAATCCACAGTTTTTTGTTGAAAGACATGTTCATCACACTGTTGGAGTTATGGTTTGGGGTGCTATAGCTTATGGTTCCAGGTCACCTTTAATCTTCATCAGAGGCAAGATGAACGCGCAGCGTTATATCCACGAAGTTCTAGAACCCCATCTTTTACCTTATCTTGACACCCTGGCAGATCCAACTTTCCAACAAGATAATGCCCGACCACATCTTGCAAGAGTCACAATAGACTTCTTTCAACATAATGATGTCACATTGTTACCATGGCCACCAAAATCTCCCGACTTATCCCCAATTGAGCACGTGTGGGATATGATGGGTAGGAGATTGCTCAAGTTGCAACGTCCTCCTCAGACTCTAGAAGCACTTCGAGAGGAGTTGGTGGTTGTCTGGAATGAGATACCACAGGAGGACATTGACCACCTGATCAGAAGCATGCCTAGGCGCGTTGGAGAATGCGTAGCACATCAGGGTGCATCCACACATTATTAAAGGTCAAAGGGCGTTAAAGCAGTGCAATCATTTTGAAATTTTTATCATTTACTTATTATGCTTCATTAAGTACTTATACAAAATTTTATTAAAATAAAACCATTTAAACTGGGTGTTCGGATTTATATGTCACTTAGTATATTTATATTTATGCTTATGACTATGACTGTTAAAATGTTGTATAAGCCCGCAATCGGTATTTCGCCAATCTAGGTAAACGTACTCAGTAAAGTTTCGTTTCCATATGCGTTTACTCAACAGACTTGATATATTCCATTTTGCGATGTTTATGCATCATTGATTTGTTTCCAAGACAAATGACTTGCTCAGCATTTTTTTTCGCTATCACTAATGCAACATATTCTAACTACTTTAAATATTTAGGAATCGAGATAGTCATGGAAATATTATTCAATCCGGTCAATTTCAGCCTAAAGTGGGATATAAATACTTTAAGCATTTCAGCTGATTCCATCTCTGTGCAGAACCGATTTGACTAATTGTAACCGTCATTAAAATGTATGTATCCATTGTTATGTCTCAGTAATTTCATTAATAACAAGCTAAGCGGCACGCTGTTCCTGTGGCTAATTCTAGCCATAATCCAACCGCAATTAAGTTTCAAAATTATGATGAATCTGATATCAGGCATGCATTTTAAGCGCTAGAAATGGGGAATGCAGCTGTGAGAAAACCAGCGAATCGGATAAAAATGCACTCTTGCGGACGGGTCGTTACGTCTCTCGAGAGTTTTTTCACCCCTGGATACAGGTGCGCGAGGTATGCAGATCGAAGTCGTTACCCGGCGGATTTTGATGTCGCTATCCTTCCATTCTACCGTGACCAACGATTTTTTAATTTTTAGCGCCTGCCTGGGGAGGAAGGAATTTCAAGCTGAGCACCTGCTTGTGAATGGAATTCAAAGACTTTTGTCTTATCAAATTCGTAACGTCCCATCGATGATGACGAGGCATACCACACTGAGAAATCGTGGTCAATTAAACGGTTGTTCTGGAAAGTTTTGATTACCGGTAATATTTTGTTTAATTGAGTAACTAGATTGTTCGGTTTAATTAAACTAAATTTTATGGAACCAGTTTAATTGAAAGTATATTAAACTAATTTGGTTGGAGATAGCAAACCATGTACCTATTTTCTTAAAGCGCTTATTTAAATATAGTAATGCAGTCTATTTATTTATATACAGTTTGGGGTGTTAACAGGTAAACTCAACGCACACCCTCAGTGAACTAAAACTAAACTTACATAAAATATCGTATACATATACATATATTACATTATTGAATACTTCAATATTAATATTTTTTTATCCTCCGATATTGTTGTAACAACATAAACTGAGTGAGTATAATTAACTATTAATTTAACTTTTTTAATAAAAGGAGTATACATAATTTAACATTTACTTACGTTTAATTAAAACTGAAATAAAAATTAAATTGAAATTATACCAGAAATGAAATTGGAGGTGATAACTTGAGTTATGTAAAAAAATAAAGCATTTCTATTTTAGTCTGCCACAGAGCTGCCTTTTTCAGGAAGGTCAAGCTAATGTTAAATAAATCTATATTACAGAAATTATTATGATTTTTCTGAGCCTTGACCAAAGGGGAATTAAGACCAAGACTAGTTCTACGGAACGGTATTCTAAACAGATGATAGGTTCTAAACGTTCTATCAGGAGTGTTCAAGTTCAAGTTTGCCAAAAGATCCGGACAGTCAGTGAGGCCATTCAACAATTCAAGAACACAGCAAATGTCAGAAATCGTTCTTCTATCTTTTAAGGAAATCATGTTGAACTGTTTCATAATTTGCATATAATGATGATCTGTAATATGTTGGTGAGTTTTGTGTGCTAACATCTTCGAAAATTTGTGTTGAATTCTTTCTATGCTGGCTATATGTACATTGTAAGATGGATTCCATATTACTGATGCAAACATCAATTTGTTGTGTATATAAGAGTAGTACAATGAAAGAAGCATTTTTGGGTTCGTAAATTCTCTGCATGTCCTGTTTATGAACCCTAGTGTTCTATTTGCATCATTTACGATGTGCTCTACGTGAGTGATGAATGAGAGTTTCTCATCAATGTATACCCCTAGGTCTTTTACTACATGAAGCTTTTCCAGATCTGCCGTCCCTATCTTATATCTGAAATCTATAGTGTTCGCTATGTTTCTAGTAAGCCTCATGTAATGACATTTTGTTAAATTCAGATACTGTTTTCAGTGCAATACTTTTGCAGAGATTCCAAATCGCTTTGAACTTTTACACAGTCATTTACATTTCTAACAATAGTAAATATCTTTAGATCATCAGCATATAACAAATATTTACTGAAATGAAAAACAGAAGTAAGGTTGTTCATGTATATGTTAAATAACAATAGTCCTAAGTGACTACCTGGTGGTACGCCTGAAGTTACTAAGAATGTCTCCGAACGATACCCATTGATAGTCACCACTTGTTTACGATTACTTATATACGATGCTAGCCACTGCCATAATGGACCATCTACGCCCACCTCAGCAAGTCTCTCCATCAAGATAGAATGATCAATCTTGTCGAAAGCCTTACTGAAGTCGGTATAAATAACATCCACCTGCAGTTTCTCATCTATTGCGTGAGAGGCATATTCTATAAAACTCATCAAATTCGTCTCTACAGATCTTTTAGGGAAAAATCCATGCTGGTGTTCCGTAATGATATTTTTTGTAATGTTTAAGATAGCATCATAAGTCAGCTTTTCAAAAATTTTTGAGAAAATACAAAGTTTAGTGATAGGTCGATAATTTTCCACAAGATGTCTATCGCCTCCTTTATGAATAGGCAATATTTCACCTTCTTTCCATCTCGTTGGAAAGACTCTTTGAGTTAATGATAGTTTGAAAATTAGGTGAAGTGGTAAACAAAAGCTAGCGGAACAGTTTTTTATAAATACAGGAAGTATGCCGTCAGGGCCATTCTATGTCTAAAAGAGTATTATTTATGGAAGTATAGTCAGCTTTATTAAAGTTGTAAAGGCATCGGCTCTGGTGCATTAATGGTTTAAGTAAAACATGCTTAAAACAAAATGTAATTGCAGGATGGTGATTATCCTCAGGAACCAATATGTCAACCGAATTCGAAATATTATATATTGAACATTCGTTACTAAGTATCAAGTCACTAATATGTCAAGTAAGGCACTGGTTTTCTCTTCAACATTAAGTGGCTCCTTAAAATGTTCGTTAAGTACTGGTTGCCAATTGACACTTGGAAGATTAAAGTCACCAACCAACAACACCGTATTTTGTCGAAAAAACCTTCATTCTGGTATAATTTGCTTACAACTGAGGGATATGAAATGCTATCCTTAGGTGGTAAATACATACAGCTTATAAATAATTTGGTACCGTTGATATTTTTACGATTGATACCCAAAGATCTTCAGCATCAGATTCGAGTTCACAACAGCGTTTTGAGTCGAAGACATTTTTTACCGCGATTGACACACCACCACCATCACTTTTTTGTGAACATGAACTCTCACGATCTCTTCTAAATACTGTGTAATCCGCTCCAAATAATTCGCTGCTGCATACACCAACTTTGAGCCACGTCTCTGACAGGCATATTATGTCATAATCATTTGCACGAACACTATTAATGAACTCCGTTGTTTTAGATTGTAGTCATCTTGTATTTTGGTAGTAGATGATTAGGTCTTGACATTTGTTATCCATCTTAACGTAGATAGGTATTTTCTACTTACTTTGCTGGTTGACGGCTTATTTGATATTTTTTAAACCCTCAGTGTCTTTCACAATAATGACACCTGAGTTATCTTCCTTTCTTGCAAAGATCTCGCCATTTTTCGTCCAGACATATTTGTATTGTTTCAGTTTAGCTAACCTTCTTGCTTCTTTAGAAATCAACTTATTTTGCATTGTGAGGTGCTCATTGACAAATAATTCATCAGACACTCCCTGAATACATATTTTTGGCGTCGAAAAGGTACATTCAAAGCAACTAAACCATTTAATAGAAGCAGTTAAGCCGTTTATTTGAAACGAGGACTCGTCAGTACTCGGTTCTTCATCCGTGAATGATCGGGAGTGTGAGACAGACGCAGTGCCGATGATGCGCTTAGAGCTTCATTTTGGAATATTGCCGTTGTTGGTGGATGAATAATTATGATAAAGTAAAATACTCAAGCATATGGCGCTTAGTGACCCATAACCATGGCTAGAATATTTCCAGCTTTTTTATATCGAAGCAACCGCACACGCAGAAGCCTAAGTGCCAGGACACCACGGCTTCTATGAGGATCCCAAAGAGGTTTGGTTAATCCGGTTTTTGAACTGCCTAAGGTTAGTAGAACTGGAAAAAGCTTCATCTTGTAGATTGTTCCACAATCTCGACACCCTCGGGACAAAGGAGCGGTCGTATCGGTCAGTTCTGGATGTACGAAGTTCGACACGGTTAGGCGGGTCTGTCTGGTAGGCACATCGCGCGGCGGGATTATAGACGAGAGCTCTGAAGAGCAAAACCCGTTGGTGTAGCGGTAGAAGAGAGCCAGATCGCCAACGACCCGCCGCTACGAAAGGGTCCCGAGACTGTCTGTTAGAGAAGAGTCATCGATCAGCATGGAGCATAAATAATGTAGTCGGGGCGGTAGCACCCCAAACTTGTGTGGTCGGTTACTTGTTACTCGGACCGAATCGCAGTTGACTATTTTGTGGAAAACGAAATAGTGCTAGGTATGATTGAACGATAGATTTTGTTATGCAATATTTGCGTGTAAGTGGCTGTTTATTTTATATTTTATCAAAGCAAAACCGCAGCTAATGACATTGGAAGTACATACAAAACAGAGTGCTATTGATTCAAGAGTATGAGTTTCTATGAAATTATGATATTGATTCGAGATCACAAATACTTCAAATTAGATAATTTAGTTTTTCAAAGAAACATAGCACTTACAATAATTGAAGCCTTTGGTGCAAACTCGGATTTTATAGTTTGGAGATAATTGGCCTCAAACTTTAAAACCTGACATTTTATATTGAATAGCGTTAGGGCTGCTTTTATTTTAGACACATAGAAAAGTGTCTCGAATAGACAGTTCTGTTGAAAAAATTGTTTTTATCATCAGAAATTAGAAAAAGATATTTAAAAATCTGACTTGACACCTTTTTAAAAAACTATTATTTGCTTGGTTCGGAAAATGAAAATTGCAGAAAGGTGTTAATTCAATGATGTTATTTATTAAAAGTAAATATTATTTTTTTTTTCTTATTACAAACTCATGAAAGTGATCACAAATAATCCACACACTGTAACTAATCATCGCCTTCTCTTAAATTTTTATAAAAGCTTCTAAAATTTGAAAGGAATTTGTTTCTGAGTGTTATCAAACTTTTAGGCCTCAATAGGTCGGCTTCTATCGACATTCAATAATCACTGGACATCAAATTTTAGTTTTTTAATTGTATCTTGTGGGAAAAGTGCACTTCTTTGTTAATTTTGGGGCGCTGAATCCAAAAATGACAATGAAATAAAAAAATTAGTTGCGGCTTAGAAAAAAAACTTTTATTTTTAAGGATATATTAAAAAAAGTAACAAGATTCATATACTTATAAGAATCACTATATGCGCTGTCTTTTTGCTGTTCTTTTATGGATCGTTTCTAGAGCATCTCTACCAAGAGTCCAACAGTAGTCTGCAATCATGGAAGGATTCCACTTTCCCTGGTACCTTTTTTCCATTGTTGAAATATCCTGATGAAAACGTTCGCCGTGCTCATCACTTACGGCTCCGCAATTGTCAGGAAAAAAGTCCAGGTGTGAGTGTAGGAAAGGTATCTTAAGAGACATATTACAGCTCATCTTTTGATATGATGACAGCATATTTTTGACAAGGGTTTTATAGTTGTCAGCTTTTCTATTTCCCAAGAAATTAGTGACCACCAGACGGAAATCATTCCAAGCAATTTTTTCAATACCTGTTAAAGTGTTTTCAAACTGTGTATCTTTCAAAATATT